GGGGACATTACCACATTACATAAAATTTTAAAAATGACAACATTACTCGTACATTTATTGAACGCGACCTCAACGCGACGTGTTTTTCAGTCAGTAGGTACGTAATACAAACTTATCAAACTATATCTTTTTTTTATCAAATTTAAAAACGTAACTATATTAGTTTTAATCGTACGAAACCTACTATTTTCTAACTATTTTACAATATCCTACTACAACTTGCTTATCTTTGACTAAAATAAACTTAACGTAATTAATAGCATTTCGTAGCAGATAGTATAGATACTATTTGGTTTTAGGTAGGCGCTACTAAAAGTTTAATACACTTCAATAAACTGTATATAACTGTTATTTTATAAACTAGTAAGTGCCATATGGTGACTGACAACACAGTAGTCCCCATAAATTTCAATCCCGAATTTCTGCACAGGAACTTATTTCCATAACCGCTGCGCTCTTTCAATTCTGAACTTTTCGAGAATCCGAAAATACCCAAAATTATGCGTTACTGAACGCGGGAATCGGACCCGATCTCGACTATCTCATTCGGCAGTTATCCTTCAGAAGTGACAGTTTATCAAATAATACATACACACGTAATTTCACGCCGATCTCCCATGGGGGTACGCAGGGACAGAGACAGAGGGGGGCAGAGACTACGGAGCGCCAATTGCTACGATTCCTACATATATTTTTCGCTTCATAAACAGTCATCAATATTTTTCATATATGCTCATTATAATATCATACCATATTCTTTATCAAATAATAGTTTGAAGACATCCTCTTCGTACAATAAAATTTAGGTACTACCTCTAATAGGAAACAGTAATAAAACAAATTGACAATCGATAATTCTATAAAACATTACGTACCTACTATTATTACCCACTATTGTTTTCTTTTTATTATGTAACTTCATTCGTGTTGATTAGATTTTCCCTTAGATGGACCGTCTGTTGAAAAATCTTACCTATGTCTAAGAGCCGGATTCCACCAAAGGGGAGATGTTTGTATCATGGTTTACCCATCTGCTCGATGGTGTTTTTTTTTGAGGACGGAAAATCATCCAATTCCTAAATAGTGAGGCGACATTGCGGCGATCGGTGATATGAAATATAGAAGACTGAAGAAGTGCGAACACCGAAATTATTGGATTGGTTGCTTGATTGCCCACCTACATCTTATGGGATAAGATGTCAATGGGCATAATATTTTTAGTAAATAATGTAGAAATGTCCAAGTTATAAAATCTGTAATCAATGTTACACGATTGTGTTGGGTAAAATGAAAAATCTCGAATTCCAAGAAGGCACAATACATTCATAGATCAAAAAAGTCAATTTGATATTTTTGCTGAAAAAAAACTCATCTGTAGTTATAGTTGAGAAAAAGTTGATATAAATATCTACTTAGGCAACATTCAGACATTACATGGAAGAGCTTCGGCCACAACAGAAACGTTTAGTATATGAGTCACTTCAAGCTTTAGACGAAAAATAATAATAGCAGATATATGTTAATCTTATTATAATAATATCTACATAATAATACAATTACGTATTTTAAATTTAAATAACTATAGTGTTATTTATATCAATGACCAACCTCTTTTGAGAGATTTATGCTATATTATTAACTAATTTTATCTTTCTTCTCTTTCTGTTTTAGTCCCGAATGTATAAATAGGTAACCCTCTGGATATATTATAACGTATTTAGCCTCTAGGATTTATAAATAAGACAATAGATCTGCCCTTTTATATCATGAAGTATCTTCGTCATTATAAAACGTAATAAACGAAGAGAAAGAAACTGACCATTAATAAAAAAACAGATGGCGCCTTCTTTCTGATAATAAATTGAAACGGCCAATGAAACGATTTTGTAGAAAATAAATAAAACGTGTTGATTATAGAACCTCCTCCGTCGTTTCGTTGTTTTAATAAAAAAGTACCTAAATGGATATTATTTTGCGGGAAATTTCTACCAACAAGAAGATTTATTTCATCGTTAGAATAAAAACATTTGACAAATATGTTTTTATATAGTTTTTTAACGAAACCAAAAACGTATGATTACATTAGGTACTGTTATATGGATATTGTTGCGAGCCCTACTATTTAACTTTAATTTAGGTACTTCATGCAAACAGATTTCTTTCTAATTTCGTCTAAGTGACAAATTATGCTTTCACTTTTAAACCTGTCCTTGTCATCATTGCATTGTTTAATATTTTCGATTTAATTTTCTGTCACTTCCTGACTATAAAATAATATATTAGTACTTTTTTATCAATTACATTTCTCGTTAATTTGAAGTCTAAACCGGGCATAAAGCAATCTAAGTATGGACTAACGTTCTTTCTGCCTTTGTACAGTTGCCTACAGTTGCATTTGAAAATCAAGGTAAATAATAAATATAATTATAGACATCATAATATTCTTAATTATTATACTCACTTATGGCACGCAAGATATAGTAAATAAATCGACAACAGTTATAAACACATAAACACGATCGGCGTAGTAGCATGGATCAGTGGTTCCCAACCGGTGGACCATTAGAGTGTTGAAGACAAAACAGTAGACCCTTTGGCAATGCGTAGATATGTAGCCTCGTTGTGCATTTTCTATCGCTTATAGCACGGGGAGTGCTCTGAGGAATTGTTTAACCTGATACCTGCCGCATCTTTTCGCCATCGATCCTCAAGACAGAATATACATCCCCACCATACAGATGGCAGGCCACAACTGTGCGCTGAATCCTCTGGTGTTGCGGGTGTCCATGGGCGGCGCTGGTTGCTTAGTATCAGGTGATCCCTCTGCTCGTTTGCCTCCTATTCCATAAAAAAAACAAGGACATGAAAACAAAAACACAATACGTCAGTCCTATACACACGGTTCAGGCTCAAATTAATCGTAGGTATGTCAAGAAGACAACTGATTTAAATAATCCAAAAGTCACTATTTTTATGACAATGACTTGACTGCCTCGTTGGCCGAATGGTCGCAAGTGCGGCTGCCGGGCAAGGGGTTCCCGGGTTGGGCAAAGTATTACTGGGTTTTTAAAAATTCTCAGTAATAGCACGGAGCCGGGAATTGTGCCCGGTACATACCGGGTATATGGCAATAGGCTCACCCCCTATTACATGGGCCTCATAACATAAATAGTGAAAAGTGGGTGTTATATTGTGCAGTGGCATAATGTGCACCTCTGCCTACCCCTTCGGGGATAAAAGGCGTCATGTTATGTTATGTCGACTTGGTGCTAGGAAAAAGTTGGGAAGCCCTGGTACAGATACGTGCATAGACATAAGCACCACACGTATGTAACAAATAATCATACAGATAAAACAGTGAAACTAATCGATACTTATATTAATATTAGTGTTTATTGCTTTTTCTATTCCGTTATTATTATTTTTTATGAAGGATTTTAACGATTAATTGTCCACTCAATATTGGAAAGACAGTTCAAACTCCGAACAGTTTAATTAGGCACTTGTCAACTAGTCAAATTCAATACTTTTTGAATCGAACTGTCAAAAACGACAAGTTTCTATGAACGTCGAGTTTTTTTAAGAGTCAAACAGCACACTTATTTCTTTAAAATTTGCTGAAAACTACTAAAATTAAGTTAGTCGTAAAAACGATGAAATGAAATGAAAGTGATTAATTAATGAAAGTGTAATTATTTTTTTATATTTTATTGAATTGAACAGTCTAAATAATTTAGTTTTGATTTCCCATTATGTAACACCTATTGTACACATGATACGCAATAAAAGCATTTGAATTTGATTTTGAAGGAAAGTACCCGATTGCATTAGCGGTTTGTCTATGAAAGGCATTACCTACCTTGTTATTGTTATATTTTTAAACTCTTTCGAGTTTGTAAAACATCAATTAACACTAATTTAATCTTGAAAATCTACTACTTTAACGTCTTACTCTTGTCAGTACGATATTGTTTCTTTGGAAATAGTTGTCAGACATAAATCAGTAGCTGCCGCCTATATATTCATAAGAGTCTTTCAGAAAATCTATAGCTTTGAATTATTTTACGTCGTTTTACCTTCCTACTTCATTTTGACTATTAGTTGTTTTTTTTACTTTAAACGTAACCGACGAAAACTTTCATACATACCTTAATAATCAAAATTAATAGCTAAAGTTTTTATAATTAATTTGGAAATATTATCCTGTTTGAAAAAAGCGGTTCCAATGATTTTGCTCAATTCCATCTCGGTCCTAACGATATCTAATAGTAAAAAAGCAAATTGAAATCATCATTACGATCCCTAAACTAAAAAAGTAGTGCAACATATAATAAAAAAGTACAAGTGAGATAAGCAATAAGCGATAAAATATTCAAAGTGAACCTATTAATATGTGATATGAAGAAAAACCGCGAGTTGCCAGTGAAAGCCGAACCAAGGCACCTGGGCCCTGCGTGTGCGCATCGACCTGTTCGTCGAACGTGCGCTGATAACCGCCGCCGTAGTACTTCCAACTCGAAAGTGATTTAGATATTGTCTCTTAGATATAAACAGCCCTGCAGTGTCGCTGTGTGCGTGTGTGGTCAAGCCACTATCAATACTTGCTCAAATTAGCTAAAAAATTGACCAAATTATTAATTTAATCTGTTTTATATTCTTATCAGTCGCACCATAATTATCTTAATAACATATTTATTTATTGCTCTTTATTTTACTTACATTTTTCCTGCTCTTAGACCAATGGGAAACTGGCAGGTTTTAAACATAGGAAAATTTGACCGTTGACCTCACTATAAGTTATTGGTTCAAGATTAGGTTTCACTAAACAATGACTAGCACATCGATAATATAGAGTTACTTCGTAGAATATATAATTTGGAAACGGAAACTAGCAAACTAGCCCTCGTTATCAGTAGCGCAAGAACCTAATCACTTTCATTGCAACCCCGCGAAGGAGGTCGCGGCCCGCGCGCTATCACACACGCAGTCCGTCCCGCGCAGTGGGTGCGCGCAGGCGTGCGCCATGACAAGCCCGCGCCGGCTCCGAGACGACCCCGCGACGTGACCGAGACCAGGCGACACCGCACCGCGCGACCCCCGGCAGCAGCCGGGAATGGAGGCCTGCTGCGCGATCACAGCTGCCGAGGACCTTGTGGGCGACCAGGTACGCCCGACCAACCCGGCTCCAGTGCCTGCCTGCTGTTACCCTAGTTGTTAGTGCTTGTGCCGCTCCGACCAGCCTGTTCCGTATGCGATCCCATTTGGTTTGTAGTGACACTCATCTTAAATAGACACGGCATGTTTTCGGTAGCCACCATTTTTTATTTTTCCGGCAGTGTTTTATTTTCAAATGGACTTATAAAGAGTTTTATAACAGTTAATAATTCAATATTTGTTCATTTTTGAAAAGTCTTACAAGTAACCGTTCATTTTAATAAAACCTAAATTGTAATAAGTTTAAATTAAATAATTATATGTATCATCGAATTCTTAAGTAATAGTGAAACCGCGAAATAATGATTCAGGCGGACTTCATAAAAGTGTCTAAATGTAAAGCGTCGCGCGATCGCTCCGGTCTCCAAATCTAGGCGCATTTTCAGTTGAGTAATAAGTACTTTGTTTAAAACAATTATTGAAATTTTTGTATAAATATGACAGGCGCGGACCTATCCGATACTTGATCGTTAACAAATATTCAGCTATACGTGTGATATAGCCGTAGGAAATAAAATCTAACATTTTGTTCGTTATAAATATCTGTCATTTCAAGGATTTTATTGCATAATTAAACTTTGCCTTGGTGTCCTGTTCTATATTTAATTATGTAATTAAGTCATAAAGTTTATTATACCTGTGGAACATAGTGTTAGGTACGTTGAAAAACTAATACATGGATGGACATTGTCAGCAAGCAAGGAAATCGTTTTTAAATCTTCATCACTTACAATATAATGTACACATATATGTACCTACTGGACCTAGGTAGATTCATTATATATATGTCAGCACGGAAAAGGTACGGGAAATGTGGCGTTTCTTAATATTACGTCTTAGAAATTATTTCAAAGTTTTCTTAATATTAAAATAATAAATATAAAATGGTAATTCGCTATGAAAACTTAATATCAGGAAAATGACAACAATGTATCTACATATTAATATTATCAATATACTTACTTGTTAGTTATATTATAAAAATGTTAAATCAATATAATAAAGTTCATGTGTTATTTAATTTAGTAGTTATTCGTATTTAAAATAGAAACCAAAACAATTTGAAAGGTCTGCTTACAAAAGACATCAACGCCGACCGACGGCAAAATATATCCGTGCGGTACCACTCCAGCTTCCAAATAGTTTAAATATTGCTTACTCATTTCTAACTAAGTACTGAAATTATAATGAATCAAATTAAATTAATTATAAACCTTTTTTAAAATAATAAAAATAACAAAAAGTAATAAATATTTTTTTACACATAGACTTGAAAAAAATAACATGATTTTATTCCTATTTGTACATAATGATTTAACAATTAATCTTAATTATAGTTGGTATTTAAGCTAGCAATTTTCGCGAGTCGCTCACGCTTAGAATCACGTCTATTTATATTGAATGCCATAATTCTGCTGGTATGCAGTTAACTACAAGCAATTTGAAGTACTTAAAATTGAGTAATATTTGTCAAAATTATGCTTTTAGGTGCACGCTCGGAAAACAGAACGATACACCTATCAAATAATTGCAAAAGTTAGCGATCATAAATAAACTAGGGTTATGTACCTATATGTGTTAGGAAAATCATGTCGTCTGTCAGTGTGTAATGTCCGTTTGAATTCTTTACAAAATATTCGTGTTTATGTCGGAACAAAGAGTTTACGGATAGGCCGCGGGCCACAGAACACCGGCCGCGCAACTTTTCAAACTGAACACTCGTACCGAACGGAACAACCGATTTTTCTATAGATTTAAATACAGTTAGCATCGTTTGTCGTGTGCGCCTCAATGGACTACGAAACCTCTCATTAACATAAACCATTACTACATTATAAAAATTAAACACTATATGTACGAATGTTCTATGCGGACCGAAATGTAGGCTGCATTAAAATGAAGTATTTAGGCATATTCTCTTTTTTTTAAAAGACTGTTGAGAATATTCTTCACCCGGCAAGGAACACAGTAACTAAAATATCAATGATCAGTTTATTTTTATCTGCACATAGCAAAATGGTATATTAGGTCTAGAATAGTTAACAAATAACAATTAGTTACAATCCGAATTCTAAACAATACGTTATAAGTATTTTAAATTGTCAATTATACTGATACTAGCTTCTGATCCTCGATCACAACTATTCGAAGGTTATTCCAACTATTTAATTCGATGCTTTTGTAGTTTGAGTCGAACAATTTAAAAGTAAAGGTCGTCATTAATGTTGTTTGTAAATCTTGTAATTTTAATTAGCACAAATAACTACAAGCAGAAAGTACATATATGTACGTAAACATGCAGAACTGTTAAATATCAAGTCCTTCTTGAATTTTAGTCCCCTGTGATATAATGTACTATGTAGTATCGTACATATTATTCTTTATGTTCGTAAGGCCTTCCTCCCGAGCAACATGTTTCTAGCTCCATTCTGACCAATAAGTTGTAAGATTATCGCAATAATATTATGGTAATCTCCTGTCTTTTCTTATTTATTATATAGACCGTTTTACACGCGCCGTTAAATGTTTGTCGGCGCCGCCGTCATTATTTTGTAAACTGCGAATGTAATGGGCGAGCAGTGAACAAACAACTGACCGACGTCACTTCAACCCCACCACCGAGTGATATATAAAGCAGCGCAAGCGCAAGCTCGAGTCAGTCGTTCGTCGATCGTTGCCCAGTTCACACGTTACGCAATCGCTGAGTAATTTTATTGTTGGTTTTATTTGAGTGTTTCCTTTATATAATCAGTGCTGAATTATTCAATTATTATAATTAAAAATTAATGTGAAAGTAAGTTCATTTAATCGAAATAAACTAAGTGATTGTGTGAAGCTCTTTGTTTTATTTTCAAATAATGTCGGACCCTGATCCTACATCAGAAGTGGGATGGACCGGGATTATTGAAAATGTTAAAATTATCGGAGCCGGTTCGTGAAGAACTACCTACATGCAAATGCGACGAAGAAGATAGTGCTGCAAGATTGGAAGTGCTTAGCTATACATAGCTAGCTACTCTGTAGTGAAGATACAACGTGGCTAACGTTGAGGCAGCTACTTCGAACTGAATCGCTATCTGAAGCAGCAAATGAAGACATGACGTGGTCCCAATTCAAGCCGGAGTACATTGGCGTCCAGTGACAGCGTAAGATACGCGGCGTTAACGCAGCGTTTGGTGAGCGGCGTCTTGATGTCTGCAATTGGACACTGCTCCCATCGGGATTATACCAGGTGACTTTGTTCCATTTATTATGATTCCGATACCATATGGGTCAAAAACGAGTCAAAGACTTGAGTTTACAATTGTTAGTTTTCCAATTTGAAATTTTATTTTATTTTTGTCGGGTAGTTATTTAAAGAAAATAGCCGTGATGTTTTAGATCCGAGATTATACATGGTCATTAGAATTACGTCTGATAGTGTTACTTTGTGTTGTGTATTGTTAGGTAATATCTCAAGTAGTAGGCTTTCATTTGGTTGGAACTTGGAGGTATGGTTTCCGCGAGGTAGATGCAGAATTAAGTGGTGCTTGCTGTCTAACGCGGTACAGAGTATTGAGAAAAATAGTTTATAACAAATAAAGGTCAAAAGCTGCTAATAATAATTGGTAGTTAAAGTCAGAATTGAAGAGACCTCTAAAGTCCTACATTCATTTAGGATTATTGTTGGGTTGGAAAATAGTTAAAGCGCTAAGAATACTCTGATGAGAAACATGCTTCCCTTGATCTTGCCATTAGGATTTGTTATAATTAGGGCCTTTCAGTACCTAGTGAGTTAGTAATTGTAAGGGTAAAACTTTT